GAGTTACGAATATCCTATCCTTTAAAAAGGCAAATTTCAGTATCTATGAATTATATCTCAATAAAGGGGGTGGGTAGGTAGGGAAGATACACACATTCTCTCTCTCTCTTTCTCTCTCTCTCTCCCTCCCTCCCTCCCTCCCTCCCTCTCCCCCCCTCCCCCTCCCCCTCCCTCTCCCCCCCAAAAGACCGGATGTGCTCGGCTAGGAAGAGCTATGAGAGTGGATCACCTCAGAAAGAATTACAGGAGAGGAGAGGAGGTGCCACACACACATCTTTCTGAGACAATTCCCTGAGAAAATTGTGTGTGTGTATATAGATATTTTTAAGATTTTATTTGAGATGGGGAGAGAGCGAACGAGCACGCTCAGGGGCCGGGGGGGGGGCAGAGGCAGAAGGAGAAACAGACTCCCCACCAAGCAGGGAGCCCGATGTAGGGCTCGATCCCAGGACCCTGGGATCATGACCCGAGCTGAGGGCAGATGCTTAACCAACTGAGCCATCCAGGCGCCCCTATGTGTATGCATTTTAATTTGGAAATTGTTCTTTTTTTTTTCTTATTTCAAGTGAGTAGAGACTGACTTTTGAAATTACCTGATACCTATTGCCAGTAGTAGAAGTGTGTCAAGAGCCCAGTATTCTACCACCATTAGCCAGAGTGACTGTCAGGAAATAAAGGCCATTAGTATCTTTCTTGTGATCAGACTGGTATTGTTGCCATAAACTATCTGTTGGGAATTAGAAATAGTTCTGGCTTGTAACAGCCTTGCTTGAGATTGGATTACGTGTAGTTAGAAAAGAGAGAATATGCCAGTGGGACAAGTATATGGAGGTGAGACTAAATTGATAGTCTGATAAGCATTACTGATGCTTTTAACTATGGGTGGAAGGGAGGAAGAGATTTGCTGGACTGGCTTTTTCCTTTGCAGTTTGTCTGGTTTTTGTTTTCTCCTTATTGTAATGACTAGGATCTCTAGTACACTGTTAAATAAAAATTGAGAGCAGACAACCTTGCCTCATTCCAGTCTTCAAGGGTTTAACACTGTCTTTCACCATGAAGCATATATAGTATTGGCAATAGGTATTTTGTAGATGCCCTTCATCAAATTGAGGAAGTTTATTAGTTTGCTGAGTGGCTTTCTAAAAATCTTAACTTGATGTTGGATTTTGTCAAGTTCATTTTTAAGTCTAATCTGGTGAATTATACTGATGGATTTTGAAATGTTAAATCAACATTGCAGCCTTGGAATAAACCTTACTTGGTCATGATTGAATGCCATGAATCCAACCAATTGAATCCAACGATAAATCATCTCAGGACTCTGAGATCATGACCTGAGCCAAAATCAAGAGCCGGATGCTCAACTGACAGAGCCACCCAGGTGCCCCCTAAGTACTGCTTTAGATGGATCCCACATTCTTGTTTTGTTTTCATTCGGTTAACCACTTTTTTCATTTCCCTTTTGATTTCTTCTTAGATCCCTAATTTATTTAGAATTACATTGTTTGGTGTCCAAATATTTGGAGATTTTCCACATATCTTCATATTATTGATTTCTATTTGAATCCCATTATGGTCAGATAAATACTTTGTACAATTTGAGTTCTCTTAAATTTATTGAGATTTAATTTATGGCCCAGACTATGGCCTATCTTGACAAGGTCCCATGTGTACTAGAAAAGATTGTGTATTCTGTATTGGTAGATGGAGTGCCCTATAAATGTCAGGTCAAATTGGTTAAGTCTTATATATCCTTATTGTTCAAATTTATAAATTTTCTCTTATTTTTTCAATTTTTTTTCTATCCCCCTTTTCCACCTTTCATTCAGTTTCTGTGACGTGTGTGTGTTTCGGTGTTTTCCTTTTGGTAGTTTCTATTGTTATGTCCTCAAGTTTACTAGTCTTTTATTCCGCTATGTCTTATCAGCTGCTAATAACAGCCAGTATATTTTCCACAAGAGTGTGAGATCCCTTTGGGTCTTTATTCTGTCTTCTGTTCTCTCTCCTTAGCATGCTCTGTCTTTCCTCTACCTTTTTGAATATATGAGGTTTATTTATAATGTCTTAATGTCTTTGTTCTGTATTATTTCTGTTGCTTGATTTTTGTTTTCATTATGGGGTTGTATTTTCCAGCTTATTTGTATGTCTGGTACTCTTTGTAGCTCAGGCATTTTGAATTTTGTTGCTAGGTACTAGAAAATATGTATATATGTTTATATAAAGTATGTGTAACATGAGTTTATTACATACATCCTCATATATATATGCACACATACATGGAATACAAACATACATAGGAGACAGTATCTCCACCCTATCTCTACTTCATTTGAAGAAGTCAGGAAGTCCTGTGTTCATAGTGGATAACCAGTTTTAATTTGCATTTTTTTTTATACATCTGTAGGACAGAGAATCCTACTCCCATGATTTTTGTTAAGGCTCTTAGTATCTCAAAAACTGCCAACATCTTTAAAGCTAAATTAATTTCACTAGAAAAAAGTAAGGGTACATATAATACTTGAGGCATAAATTACTTGGAAATTAAGAAAACCCAAAATATCCATCTTGGGTTGGAAGCAGTGGTTTAAGGAGCTGAAAACTCCTTGTGCTGCTTTCAGAGGGAGCACTCGCTAACTCCTCCAGCTTCATAGCGGGTCAGACGATTCCCTGAAAGGCAACCCAGAGTTTGGGCCTAGTTAGTGTGCAATTCCTACATGCTGGCTGTGACCTGCTTCCTTTGAAGCGCTCACTGAGGCGGGGGTGCAGCAAAGAAAATGGAGGAGGTAGGAGATAGAAGAGCATCTGAATTGTCCGCCTCCCCCTTTTGTATTAGAGAACAGAAAACTACTTTTCTACTGTGGTGAGCCCCCCACTAACATCTCTTTCCTGGGTGCTAGCCCGCCAGGTGCACCCTATCCTCCAGTGAGGCCAGGAAAGGGCCAGCCGTCAGCTTTGCTTGCAGAAGTGGTACACCATGCTATGTGAGTTTGCTCTGAAGAACTAGAGGGATATTCCTGAACCCAGGAAAGCAAGAAAATACACTTAACCTATATCTTTCAGTGGTCACCATGATGAATGTGTTAAAAAGACAAGGGAAAATGAGGGAAATCAAAGTGACTTCATAGCATTTTCAGACTGATTAATCTACATTTTTGGTTCTTTTTTTTAAAAAAAAAGGAATGGGGAAATAGTACCTTGAAGCCATGGGAAAAATATACCAGGATCTTCAGTGATTGAGAAGGGCAGGTCCTCAACTAGGTCCTCAACTATAGAAAAAGAAGCAAGACAACTTATGACACGAAAATCTGAGCTCACCTATTAGAAAAGTCACTTTTTATGTGAATTGAAACCTTTGGCTTTTTGCTGAAGAAGTCTGTGGCTGTTTTAGCTGAGGAAGGCTTCAGACTTGTTAGCCACATGATGTGAGATGCAGGTGGCCTGATTCTGCCACCACTTTCACAGGCCCTTTTCCTGTCGTCAACCCCGTTTTCCAGCTGTAAATGGTGGCCAATGCCACCTGCCCTTTGTAATATTTATAATGGTATTTGTATTTATATACTGTAGTACCTTATGAATACTGCTCTGCAGTTAGTGAGGTCTTTCCATCTGCTAATTTTACATCAGACACTGAGTTGAAAAGGTGTCACGCCTCTTGCAGATGAGGAAATGGGGAAGTTTCAGGATCAAGAAAGGTTAAGTGACTTGGCCAATGTCCCAAGTACAAGGATCCGGGCCAAAGCAAAAGGCTTCTAATTCCAAATTCAGTGTTCCTTCTGCTAGAATGTGCTGCCTCCCTCCAGGACTGGCAGAAGATACTGGGGCCAGTCCTCAGGCTAAGGCTTTAATTATTCTGCCTCACTCAGCACGTGATGTACCACGTTGTGTTTGTAGGTGGCTTAGTGGGAGGTTTTCCTGTAAAAGGGACAGGGTCTAGATGTGGGACTGGCTCAGTCTGTGGAGAGGTGATGAGAATGCTGGTTGTGGTTTTCTCACAACTCCCCAGTTACCGCCTGGTATCATTTGGTACTTACTTTGCTAACTACACTTTTGGAAAAAGAAGCATGAATCAATTCAGTTAATGTAGAAGAGGGCCAAATGTTGCTAAGAAATGCTCCTGGAGATTGGTCCTCACAGCTAATTCTGGGAGGGTGTCTGACTTTACAGTGTTGGCTTAGTCATTTCGAGCACAGGGCTTCAGACTTTCAAAACAACTACAAAGGTTGCAGCAGTTGCTTACTGAGATAGCTTGTAGAGTGTTTATTGGCTAAGCCTTTAACACAGAGTTTGTTAAACTACAGATTTAAATAGTAATCATTTTTTATGACCAAACCATTGAAAGAAATTGAGTCATTCGTTTCCTTTAAAAAATCAAACCTCAAAACCAAATTTATCAAATGGACTGATATCTCCTGCACTGATTTCCAAACCCCCCACCTTTGTCAGGTTGAACCAAATTGGAAATTGAAACCAAATGATTATATATTTTTCATTTCCTAGCTAACTGGCTTCAATTCCTCAGTCTTCTAAACTCAAAGTAAATCACAGCAGTGCTGGTTCAGTAAGAGCACACATAAAAACGTTAAAGAACAGGCGGGAGACCTGGGTGGGCGTGCTCATACCTGGAAGATAGTTAGGGTAAGTCTGTATCTCTTCAGCTACATTTAGTTCTTAATTCCCAGAGTTTTGAATGTCGGGGTGTGATGACCTCTATGAAAGAGCTGATTAGCAACAGTCCGGACTTTGTATTGTACAGATGTTGTCCTCGCCCCCACCCCACGCATACACCTTTGTCATTACACTGAATGTACTACATTGTAATGATTGGTTTTCCTTTTGAGACTGTGACACATGTAATGCTCCTAATTCAAGTTGGCAATCCAAGACCTGGCACATACTTGGCATTTAAAAAAATTTTTGATGTGTCTGGAAATTTTACAGAAAAAAAGAGATGTACACCATTATTTTAAAGTCTTTTTTTTTTTTTTTAACTTTTCACAAAGGATTTGCTGTAAGTCTTCAAGTCATCTTGTCCAATCCAAAAGCCGTATTTAAGCGTCGTGGATCCCAGCCAGGGATGCAAGAATCTGATTTTCTAAAACAGATAACAACAGTTGAAGAACTGGAACCAAAAGCAAGTAACTGCACTAAGGTATTCCTTTCACTTGTGCTGCTTGACCTTGTTCAGTGTCAGCATTAAGAAGTGTGGCTACCCAAGAGATTTCCCTCCCCTCTAGGTTCTCGTATGGCACACTCGGACAGAGAAGGTTAATCTAGCCAACGAGCCAAAGTACCGCCTGGACACGGTGAAAATTGAGGTATAAACGGAAGCAGCAGCTGGTGCAGTTTGCCTGGCTAGTGGACACGAAGAGGAGTGCGGAGGTCAGGCTCCAGAACATTCAGGTATCGTTCGCTTGACTTCGGTACGACAGCCTATGTCGTCACCTAACGGACATCTGTTTCAACAGAGCTTGTCCATCCGTTAACACAGCTGATGGAATGGTATCAAATGTGTGTTTTTGTCTTCCTTTGTTCTGCATGTCTTCCCTACAACTAAACTGGAAGTTCTTTGTACACAGCTAGTGACACTGGAGGGTACGATTGTGAGTATCTTATGTACTTTTTTTTTTCCCATTTGGCCTTAAAATTGGTAGAACTGAGCAGGTTTTAGAAACAACAGGCATTTTGCCAACTAAATGTTCCCAATTCCTCACTTTGCAATGTAAAGTTTAAGTTTTGTAAGGTTGGTGGCAGTATACATTGTAGGAAATAAAACCCACAAAAATAAAAAGGTCTATGGATTCATCTGTTTAATATAGGGATATAACATTTTGTCAATACTAGGCACCATAAAATGTAAACACAATTACTGTCATAAACCTGGATATACCTTCAAGGATTGAAAGTGGCTTGTTTAGTTACCCTGTTTGCATACAGTGCAGAGAAAGATCTTCATGTTATTAGCACTATGTACATAAGAAGAAATCCAAATTACAGGAGAGGCAGATAAAATTTGAGTTCTTTAAACATTCGTTAAACTAAGTTTTGTAGTAACATCCAGGTTTATCTTCCTTTCACTGGTTAGTGAAAGCACTAACTGTTAAGCACTCCCTGTTAAGCACATCATAACAACAGCACAGTGAAGTGAATGATGAAATAAAAGAATTTTGATACACTAGAAAACAGTGCTCAGTGATACATTTACATTCTATTTATATGATTAAACATTTGATCATACAGTACCTTCCTAAGGATTACTGGCTAATTTGGGGGTGGGGTTTATACTGTTAGAGGTATTACTAACATGATAACTACTTCCCTTATATGCAGACATTAGAGCTATAATTTTATTGAGAGTAAAACTGATTATGCAAGTTGACTGAGCAGCTTCTCAAATAATGTGGTTTATGAAATCATGGGAAATGACCAAAGCTGCCCTTGACATAAAATGGTTTCTCAACCTGCTTTTCACATCAAATTTAATCAGTACAGACCAACACGGTCAGATAATTCTTAATATGAACAAATGGGGAAAAAGAAAAAATATATATGTACATGAATAAACAGGGGAACTAGATGCGTTTTAGCAAGGAATGTCAGGTGGTAGTTCTGGATGAAACTTGCATTGCAGTTTTCATTTCCACAGCTGTGTGCTGAGAGTCTGACCCGATGAGCTTCCAGACCATCCTGCTGTTGTGTTGGGGGGCTGGCCAAAACCCACTGTTGGGTTTGTACTGCTGATACTCATGCCAGCCATTTGCTGATTCATCTGTGAAACATAAAAAGCTTACTTTAAAAGGCTTACTTCACTTTTAATTCTTGTTTCTTTAGCCACAGACATTTTTAAGTTACCCTGTTGTATTAGAAGCTGCCTTTACTGGAGGTTTAGTCAGATAATGAAGTTTAATAGCAATTATAAGTCCTTTTCCTCAATGTGAAAATTAGTCAAAGCACAGGAGTAAAAGACTACCAAACAATTACTTCCCTAGAGAAAGCTACTTTGTTTCCTTCTTGTTCTTTATCTCCTTCCACATTTTTTAACACTGTCCATAAAGTGATCTCAATTATAGTCTATTTATTCCTTTTCAAAACTCCATTTTTTGTCCCCCAAAGATTAACCACAACTGAAAAAAAAAGTACCAAAGCAATCTTTGAATTTGTATCCAAGTCCACTATTCTTTCAACTCTACCAGCATGTTGTTCTTTAACTATAAGGATTGAGGAAATTTTAGAAAGATACTCCAAAATTATACATTGTGGATGATAGCTATTCTTCTGTCTTTATTAAAATCTTAAATGGTTCTATATATACTTTCTAAATATTAAAAAAGGTCATAAAGCATATCTTTTGCTCAGTTAACCACTAAATGTCTAAAATTAATTTTCATTATATAAGGTATAAGATTACATGTATTTTTATTCCAGACTGGAATCATATATGTATAGAAGCATCCTAACCCTTTCCCTGTGGTACTCTCTTACTTCTAAGATTGATGATAAGTAAAGGAAAGGCAAGATTTATCACAAAGCACAGAGTGGATTCAAAACCTATGCTCAGGGTTGGAATGTATTCTTAATAAAGTTCATTTGTTATTTTGCAAAGACACTTATGTTTACCACACTGCTGATGAGGCGTAAGTGTCCAGTTCGTCATCCCTACTAAAGGATACTATAACCACCTTTCAGTGAGAGGCTGCTGGAAAACAGCAGCGCCCCTCAGCATGCCTGGAAGTAAGGGCCAACCGTAACTCCTTACGGATTCATCTAGCACCTTAGCCTGAGCTGGGCGTGCTTCAGCACTTTGTCTCACAAAAGCTGTTACTGACATTTGGTACTTGAGGTTCCCAGAGGATAGAGATCAAGAGTCAGATGCTTAACCAACTGAGCCACCCACCCCCCGAATAATTCCTTTAAATAATGACAAGAGGGGTGCCTGCCTGGCTCGGTCAGTAGAGCACGTGACTCTTGATCTCAGGGTTTTGAGAGTTTGAACCCCACACTGGGTGTGGAGATAACTTTAAAATAAAAGTGACAATAAAAGCATTCATGGGATATACAGTGTTTTGGTAATGTTAATTATCACTATAGACTATTCTCTGAATGCTCTCAAGGTAAAACAGCTGACCAGAACAGAAACCAAGATCCCCCAAATGCTAGAGAAACATCAAATAAGAACTGTAAAGGGAAGAGTTGCTGGAGCATGAAACGAAGTCTAAGGTCAGAATGGAGCATAATCTAGAAATTGATTTGAGAAAAGTTATACTAAAATGTCAGCTTTTGGCTTTAAACTAACGTAAGTAGAAATGGGATTTTGTAATATAAGGGGATGTCTGAGACAAATATGGACTTGTCCCTAAGTAAATTAAACAAGAATATTTCTTATAAAGCCAAGGGCAATAGTCACATGACATAGAGAATAGACTAGATCCCTCACAAAATAGTGCTTTGAGAAGAGGAGGCTGGATATTTTTCTAATTTGTCAAAGTTAACACATAAAACCCCAAAATCATTAGTGATGGTAGGCTGGTCTAAGCGGACTATAAAAATACCCCAAAAGGGAGCTGGGTTAAAAGCTTGGTGCTAATTTCATGGGGTGGTGGGGGGGAAGAAGACAGGAAGTCTCTCAAGATGCCCAAGATAATTTCTAGCTATTACAAACAGGATGTTCGCCAGTGTTATAACCTGAAGTGAAAAAATGCTTAACATTTCTTTATAGTCAGTGACTGCTCATTTGTCTATGTGATTGTAACTTCATAATACCTATAAATAGGTCTCACCTCATACAACATGGCCCTACTCAAATCTTTCTGCCAGGTTGTTAGATTTAAATAAAACCATTTAGAAAATAAATCCAGTTTCTTTGATTTTGGAGAAGTTGGAGAGCAAATGACCTCTTACCTGTGAGAGGTTCCACTGGGGCTGTTGAGCTTGCGGCAGGCCAAACTTACTCTGGGGTGCACCCATCTGTCCCACCATTCCTCCTTGGGGGCCAACCACGTTTGGAGGAAGTGGCATCACGCTAGTTTGTGCATTTCCCATAAACCCATTGGGCATAGGCATGCCCACCATCATGCTTGCACTCTGTCCCATCACATTTCCGAGAAGGCCAGGAGCTGCAGGTGTAGGCACAGGCACACCCATCGATGGAAAACCTTGAAATGCAGTCGGTGCTTGTGAGGTAAATGGTATATTTGTGGGTCCCATAAACACACCTGCATTTTAAGAACCATGAAAAGAAAATGAGAAAACAGGGCTATTGTGTGCAGCTGCACTCATCTCTCTAATCACAGAAAAAGGATCACCATCTTTCTCAACTACCCACAGCAAAAATTTTAATTCCAGTCTGCTCCTACTGCTCAAACTTACACCATAACCCTCAGAGCTGCTTACTTCCAGAATGCAGTTATAAACCTGAGCACATTTAATTAGGACACATAAATCTTATGCAATAGCTATAGAAAATACCCAAACTATGTAGCATGAGATTACGTGCTGACGAGCACCACTAGGCTCCCACCATCAAACGCACAGTGAGAGCTGTCTGCCTTTAATAGAAGCAGGTGAGATGTCCTATAACTTTAGCTCCCTATTTAGAGGAAATGGGCCCAACAGATTATGTAAACAACAAATCTTACTGTGCGGTATCTCATTATAATTATTAAAAACTCAAAGTTTTGGAATTCGTGTGGTAACAGTGCTTATTGTTTACTTACAGAAAACTACACAAACTTGTAAACTTCATGCAAATCAAAATCTTCAAAAACAATCCATGTCCTGTAACCTTGTGAAACAATATTAAGTGATATGTGAACAGCTTGTTAATTCTAAGCGAATAAAGTTTTGTGAATCCTGTATATGCTTTTTAATTCTAATGCTTCAATTTTGTATTTGCACAAATTGCAACAAAAGTACCGATTCCATAGAAAAATAACACAAAGGGTATACTTCTAGTAATGTCACAACAAGCTGCTGACAGCGGATATTAAAATGAATTACCAGGAGTACTCTGCTGCTGAATGGTTCCTGTACCATACAAAGATAAGATGGAGTCTTTGGAGAGTTGTTTCTTTGCCACCTCTTCTGACTTTGTTGCTTGCTCGGTGAACAGATCCAGATCTCCAGATATTACTGTAGACAGAGTGGTAGCTGCAGGTATAGAGGGTGTCCCCTGAGACAAATACCAAAGCAAGCTGTCAAATTCTCCATACCAGAACACAGTTCATCTGTTAAAATCTAAATGAAATTAGAAATTAACTGTAGAAGGTAATGTGGTGACATTACAGAGGATCATTCACAAGCCCACATAAAACAGCATCCAGGAGGAAGGTACAATGTTTCCTATTTTGAATCTGTTGCTGGAAGAGAGGCAGATTGAAGCTCTTTCATAATAAATTGTGTTTACCTGCTCAACTAACAACTGAGTTTTTGCCCATCACATCCTGACCCACATCCTGACCACAGTGGCTTCAGCAACAGGATATAATGGCCGTGTGAGGACCACCATTCCTGGAAGATGCTGAGGCACTCCCTTTGGCAACTACTACTCCAAGGTTCTGGTATCCCTTGAAATAAAGAACATTGCTACAATGACAGCATACTCCAAGAGGGTCCTGCAAAGGCTGATCTTGTCTTCTTTGAAAAAAA